AGGTGTCAGGACCTGCTCGTTACCAGGTCTCAGGACCTGCTCGTTACCAGGTGTCAGGACCTGCTCGTTACCAGGTCGCTGGTAACTGAATGCAGACAGTTGACAGGAAATTAATTTGCAATCACCTAATTCTGTTTACATGGGTAGATACATAGCTCCTGGTTCTGCATGTGAGGCTCCTACCTGCCGGCTTTGCTGATTCCTGGATTCTAAGAGCTCAGTTCATACCTGTGCTAGAAGCTGCGTATGGTGTTCTCTTTCATGTGCTCCTGTGTTTCATCTCTCTCTTTCTCTCTCTCCCTCTCGCCCTGAAGCTGGTGAAGAGCTTTGGATCCAAGGAATTAGAGATACCCTCCAAGCTGCATAACCCCTACGGATTAAGCGCTTTTTCAAGAATATGAAGATGATAATTATTTATAATAACAAGTGTAACAATAATAATAATAATAAAATAATAAAAATAATAATAATAATAATAATAATAATAATAATAATAATAAATAATAATAATAATAATAATAATAATAAAAATAATAATAATAATAATAATGATTTTTATATATTATTATTATTATATTATTATTATTATTATTATTTATTATTATTATTATTATTATTATTATTATTTTTATTATTATTATTATTATTATTATTATTATTATCAAAATCTGATGTTTTCATATATTCTTTTTTAATATCAGTTTTTGGGGGTCAAGGCGTAGCTCCTGGCCCCGCCTCTTTGACCACTTTCATCGACATCACTGAGTTCTGGCTTCTTAGGTCTAATCATATCTACTCTTGAAGCTGTGTATGGAGTCTGTCTCCACCACTGCTACCTCATCCAAGTCTTTCCACTTTCCAACAAGCCTGAGACTAAAGAAATACTTCCTGACATCCCTATGGCTCATGTGTCTCCAGCTTCCATCTGTGTCCCCTTGATCCTGGTCCTCTTAATTCAGCCTGTATTAGCTTAATAAATTCCTCTTAAGTGTGTATGTGAGTGTGCTAGAAAGATAGAGAGATAGATACATACATACATATCGAGATATAGATAGAAAGAGAGAGAGAGAGAGAGAGAGAGAGAGAGAGAGAGAGAGAGAGAGAGAGAGAGAGAGAGAGAGAGAGAGAGAGAGAGAGAGGAGTTAACAATGGGTCAGTAAAAATCGCACACAATGAGTCACCACCAGAGCGGAAAAATGTCAAAAGAGATTACCCCAAAAAAAAGAAAAAAGTTTAAAATGCATGTGTCAGGTGCCTGTGGTCCCATTTGTGGTCCTACCGTGGTCCTACTGTGGTCCCATTTGTGGTCCTACCGTGGTCCTACTGTGGTCCCATTTGTGGTCCTACTGTGGTCCTACTGTGGTCCCATTTGTGGTCCTAACGTGGTCCTACGGTGGTCCCATTTGTGGTCCTACCGTGGTCCTACTGTGGTCCCATTTGTGGCCCTACCGTGGTCCTACTGTGGTCCCATTGTGGTCCTACTGTGGTCCTACTGTGGTCCCATTGTGGTCCTACCGTGGTCCTACTGTGGTCCCATTTGTGGCCCTACCGTGGTCCCACTGTGGTCCTACCGTGGTCCTACTGTGGCCGTACTATTGAAATTGAAGCTTATAAATATATTGCAAGAAGAATTAGAATTCTATTATTATTATTATTATTATTATTATTATTATTATTATTATTATTATTATTATTATTATTATTATTATTATTATTATTATTATTATAATTATTATTATTATTGTTGTTGTTGTTGTGTTGTTGTTGGTGGTGTTGTTGTATAATAATAATAATAATAATAATAATAATAATAATAATAATAATAATAATAATAATGTCTTTTAGGGCTGAGCTTCTTTATACATGATTAGGGTTGAACATGTTTGGGTTGTACAGCTCCAGTTCCGTGAATCAAGAGCTCCTCACCAGCATCCAGGTACGTGTTGCGTGTAGCTTCATTCACGGCATAAATACAAAAAATCTTTAGATGTCTCTCACTGAGAGAGAGATGCATGTCTCATTGAGGCAGAAAATCCAGAAATCTCTCAGTGAGGTAGGGTCCCCCTGTAATCTCTCAGTGAGGTAGGGACCCCCAGTAATCTCTCAGTGAGGTAGAGACCCCCAGTAATCTCTCAGTGAGGTAGAGACCCCCAGTAATCTCTCAGTGAGGTAGGGACCCCCAGTAATCTCTCAGTGAGGTAGAGACCCCCAGTAATCTCTCAGTGAGGTAGGGTCCCCCAGAAATCTCTCAGTGAGGTAGGGTCCCCCAGAAATCTCTCAGTGAGGTAGGGTCCCCCAGAAATCTCTCAGTGAGGTAGAGTCCCCCAGTAATCTCTCAGTGAGGTAGAGTCCCCCAGTAATCTCTCAGTGAGGTAGGGACCCCCAGTAATCTCTCAGTGAGGTAGGGACCCCCAGTAATCTCTCAGTGAGGTAGAGACCCCCAGTAATCTCTCAGTGAGGTAGGGACCCCCAGTAATCTCTCAGTGAGGTAGGGACCCCCAGTAATCTCTCAGTGAGGTAGGGTCCCCCAGTAATCTCTCAGTGAGGTAGGGACCCCCCAGTAATCTCTCGGTGAGGTAGGACCCCCAGTAATCTCACTCAGTGAGGTAGGGACCCCCAGTAATCTCTCAGTGAGGTAGGGACCCCCCAGTAATCTCTCAGTGAGGTAGGGACCCCCAGTAATCTCTCAGTGAGGTAGGGACCCCCAGTAATCTCTCAGTGAGGTAGGGACCCCCAGTAATCTCTCAGTGAGGTAGGGACCCCCAGTAATCTCTCAGTGACATAGGGACCCCCAGTAATCTCTCAGTGAGGTAGGGACCTCCAGTAATCTCTCAGTGAGGTAGAGACCCCCAGTACTCTCTCAGTGAGGTAGGGACCCACAGTAATCTCTCAGTGAGGTAGGGACCCCCAGTAATCTCTCAGTGAGATAGGGACCCCAAGTAATCTCTCACTGAGGTAGGGGCCCCCAGTCATCTCTCACTGAGGTAGAAATCCCCAGTAATCTCTCACTGAGGTAGTGACCCCCAGTAATCTCTCACTGAGGTAGAGACCCCCAGTAATCTCTCAGTGAGGTAGGGACCCCCAGTAATCTCTCACTCAGGTAGAGATCCCCAGTAATCTCTTACTGAAACCTATTCTTGTTGTATGTCCCCTGTGAGATTAGCAAATCCCCTTGGTTGTAATTTTGTACCAGGTGAATTTGAACGAGTTGACGATTGTCCAGTCAGATGCTCATTCAATCAAACGCTCGTCCAATCAGATGCTCGTCCAGTCAGATGCTCGCCCAATCAGACGCTCGTCCAATCAGACGCTCGTCCAATCAGACGCTCGTCCAATCAGATACTCGTCCAATCAGATGCTCGTCCAGTCAGATTCTCCTTCAATCCATCCACCACTGAATGTGTTACGAAGATATTCTCCGACTACAAAAGCATAATGTAACTCAAATGTAACTGCTGGAACATAATTACTCTAATAATAATCCAAGTACTTAGCGACCTTAATACATAAAAACCTTAATACATAAGGACGTTAATGCATAATGGCCTTAATACATACATAACTTTAATACATGGGTTATTGCTACAGCACAATGTTACTCAGACAAATGTAATTCAGAGATAATAATCTTTAAACAAATGTAACTTCTACAGAGGTAATCGTGGGAGGCTGAGGCCTCTCTTGCTCTCTCTGGTCTATCAACATAAAAGTTATATAATATCAATGTAACATTATTTTTCTTGTCTAATTATTATTATTATGATACAAAGAAAATCCTTTATTTTAAGTAATAAATTAGTAGCAATCTCGTTATTTATTTGTCTTTTATCTGTAGGTTAGGTTAAGTAAGACTTGTCAGGAAACAGAACAAATGCCTCGTGATACAGGTCTTAGCCCCATGATGACCCTCAGTGGATTTTTTTTTGGTTATAGGGCCGTGATCTTCCACTGGCTTCCTGGTCCATTCCTTTAAAAATGAATGTCCAGAAAAATACAACTAAAAATAAATCTGGAGAAGAACCAACAACTCAGTTGTTATTGTTATTATGGTTCTTAAAGGCCACTTAAACTTACGCCTTATTGGACGACTCAGTTTACTGATGACAAACTACACTAACCAACCCGGCTCTGATTAAGTCTGTGAATGCAATAAGCCCTCCCACGATATATTTGAAAATACATAATAATTACATTATGATAATAACTAATCGGGAGGAGTATTACATGAAAAGAGAAGTAAATAAAATATAAAATCTTCATTTGACAACAGCGGGGAGAGAGGCTCCAACCTTGATTCTCCAGCTTCTGGCTTCCAGCCGTCGCAGGGGGTGCACGCGCTTCAGTTATTCTGTCAAGTGTTTCTCTCTAGAGTGCGTTTATCACTGCTTCGAAGATTGTGGTAAATCCTACAGTAAATCCTGGGGGTCATTACTTTCCAACAGTATCAGCCATAGGATACTGTTAGAAAGTAATGACCTTCGAAGACGCATAGATTTTACCTGTTTGGGCCATTATAAACCCAGAATACCTGCATCTGGGTGGAATAATTTCGATCACAGAAAAAACATAGACGCTAATGACGTTTAATGACACAACGTTATGCTCACTGCAGAGCTCCACATAGAACGATACGTTGGTCCATTAAAGGCTTGTCACCGCATTGTTTCTTCACTAGTGTTGGCAGTGTATCTAGAAGAAGGAGGAAGTCTACAGCGTCCTGAGTGGTAGTGAGCAGCCACGTTCCGGTAGCAGCCTTATATACACCATCAAAATAGGTAAAGCTACTTTCCCCGCCCGAACCTTCAAGGCCGAGGCTGAAGAAAAATGTTCTCAAACTAGGTCGCCGACCACCACTACGTGACTAGCCTAACCACTAGGTTCCTATTCCTTCACTGTGCCTCTCGTCACTATCCCCTCGCCAACTAAACCCAGTCTCTCATTTCTTCCTCTCCCTCTTACCCCAACCTCCCCCCCACACCGTTCTCCCTCCTCCACGGCTCCCCCAACTCCTTCTATTCCCCCCCATCCCACAACTCCACAGGCCATACCTCCTTGACACCTTGAGGATCTGGATATAAAGGAGTGCAGATGACCTAGTACCATCACAGTGTGTGTTTGTGTGCCTCTATACTCCCAGGAGCCATCATAATGAAGCTAGTGAGTATCTCTTCAGCTTTCAGCAGTGATACAAGTGTCTCTTCGTCATCTCTTTCTGGCTTTTCATTACCTCAGTGAGAGATTTAGAGGGACTCGTGAGAATAAAGACATTTTCTTGTTATTATGTTCATCTTCTGAAGGGGTGAATGTTTGATGCTGGTAGGATAATAATAATAATAATAATAATAATAATAATAATAATAATAATAATAATAATAATAATAATAATAATAATAATAATAATAATAACAATAATAATAATAATAATAAGTTCATTTGTTCAAGTGCATGTACAAGGTATACAGACTATAGCTGACATCAATGACATACTACTATATAGAAAGCCGCTTGTTATGCTGAACATTTCGGGCAAATTAAGGTCAGTTTTGTCCCCGGATGCGACCCACACCAGTCGACTAACACCCAGGTACCTATTTTAAACTGATGGGTGAACAGGGACAGCAGGCGACCTATAGAAACACGTCCCTAATGTTTTTCAGCCGCACCGGAGGCGATTCGAACTAAGGACCTCAGTGTGTGAGCTTAGTGCGCTAGCGATCGAGCTACGGGATATCGCATACTATAATGGATTCTAGATTAAAGAAATTGGAGCTATTATCCCCTTCCTCGGATAAAGCCTCATAAATTCCCATTCCCCAGGTGCTGTATGACCCCCATGATTATAATATTATAATATGGGGAGGCGTTGAACTCATAAAGTTCTTCAGCGCCTAGAAATAAGGAATAATGAGGATTGACCCGAGGAGAAGAGAGGGTAATTCTCATTCCCCATTCCCTCTGAATGGGGAAGACAGTTCATTGGGCGCTCTAAAGACCTCGGTGTCACTGGGAGAACATATTACCCCGGTGGGACTGGGGGGAGGAGCCACTTTACCCAGTTAATCTTGATTGTTTGTTATGGAGCGCTGACTGATGTGACAGTGTGTACTAGTCGTAGACGTGTTGGTGTTGCAGCCAGTGTGGTAGACGTGTTGGTGTTGCAGCCAGTGTGGTAGACGTGTTGGTGTTGCAGCCAGTGGTGGGAGAGGTGACGGCGTGCTGCAGTAGTAGTAGTAGAAGTGTTGTGCTTCAATGATACTGATCGTTGAAGTAACAATGGTTGAGGAAGTTGTAGTGTGTTGAGCACAATGGTAGTTTCGATGTGTTACTGGTTGCTGGGATGACCTGTTTCAACTAGTGTGTCAGTACTGGAGTTTCACTGGTTGATGTGACGGTATGTATCATTAATAATGGTATGTTTCAAAGATAATAGTAGCTTGTGTGCTAGTTGCCGTGGCTATAATGGTAACTTCAGTGCTGGCGATTTACTGATTGATAAGATGGCTTGTTTCAGTGATGGTGTTTCACTGGTTGCTGTTGTGTTTCAGGCATTGTTTCAGTGGTGGTGTTTTATTGATTGTTTTTCAGTAGCAGTGTTTTACTGGTTGCTATTGTGTTACAGTCAGTGTTGGTTGCTATGCTGGTGGCCGGGATCATGGCCGACAAGATGCCTTTGGATAAGCCTCCCGTGGCCATAATTCACAGTGAGCAACATCACCCAGACGAGACCGGCGCTCACAGCTTCGACTTCGAGGCCGAGAACGGCATTAAGATGCACGTCTCTGGCTCTTTAGGCGAGAACGGAGGAGAAAACAGCATCGGCCACTGGAGGTCAGTAATTGTATTTCTGTCTTAGATATTAACATACATTTGAGCACATATTCCTTGAAATCTCGAATATATTACCCTTCAAGAGCGTTTGACTTTAGTGAGGACGAATAAATTGAAAGCTCAGGTATTGTATGACCCGTACGGATTTAGCCCTGCCCCATGAATGTAATAACGAGTATTATAATACCTATGCCAGAGTTACTTCTTGAAAAACTCGTTTAGCCCCATGAATGTAATAATAATGAGTCTTTCATAATCTCTCTGCCTCAGTTACCCCTTGGAAGACGGACGAACTGCATACCTGAAGTTCGTGGCTGACGAGAACGGCTACCAGCCTGAGTCTGACATGCTGCCCGTGGCTCCTGAGTTCCCCCACCCCATCCCTCAGTTCGTCATGGACCAGATCGCCTTCGCCGAGGCCGAGAGGGAACGCCAGGCCCGTGAAGGCAAGACCACGTAAATAAGACTACCAGTATCTGGCGCAGAAGACTCGCTCAAACCACCAAGACGTCGTTTGCTCACCTCATTGACCATATTTATAGGTTAAACTTATTATTTTTAAGTCTGTGTTAAATATGGATGCTGTACCTTTGTAAATATATTATAAATGGAAAGCATTAAAAGTCTCTCTAACAACAATACTTTGTTTTGCCTTTTTATATATTTTTTTTATATTAACAAAACCAATCATTTGGCCTCTACCTTGAATTATTATTATTATTATTATTATTATTATTATTATTATTATTATTATTATTATTATTATTATTATTATTATTATTATTATTATTATTAACACATCGGCCGTTTCCCACCAAGGCAGGGTGGCCTGAAAAAGAAAAACTTTCACCATCATTCACTCCATCACTGTCTTGCCAGAAGGGTGCTTTACACTACAGTTATAAAACTGCAACATTAACACCCGTCCTTCAGAGTGCAGGCACTGTACTTCCCATCTCCAGGACTCAAGTCCGGCCTACCGGTTTCCCTGAATCCCTTCATAAATGTTACTTTGCTCACACTCCAACAGCACGTCAAGTCCTATTATTATTATTAACATTATTAATAGTATATATAGTAATAGTAGTATTAATCAGTCAATCTATGCGCTAAGCTTTAAAGGTCTTAAATAGTGATAATAGTAGTAGTAATGGTAGTAGTTGTAGCAATTGTAGTAGTAGCCGGTGAGGAGGGCTCTTGATCCGTGGAGTCTGACCTGATCCCCCCTTCCTTGGCTCAAACTTAATTACGCTCCATTCCCCCCCCCCACCTCCCCTATGGGTTTAGCGCAACCCCACCACAACCGCATTAATACGCAAGACCTCAACGTCGGCTTTGTAAGAAATTAGCCCCATGAGGTTTTAGCTCTTTGTGAAGCTTCATGACAACCCCTTACGGGTTTATCGCTTCCCCAGAAATATAATAAACACATGTACAGTAAACATTACATTAAAGTTTCTTATTCAAAGACAAATTTTGAACACGATTAAAACACTCATCCAAAACTGAACAATAATAATGAATATAATAAAAATAATGATAATAAAATAATAAATATAATAATAATAATAATAATAATAATAATAATAATAATAATAATAATAATAATACAATAATGATAATAGTAATAATAATAATAATAATAATAATAATACAATAATGATAATAGTAATAATAATAATAATAATAATAATAATAATAATAATAATATAATAATAATAATAATAATAATAATAATAATATAATAATAATAAAATAATGATAATAGTAATAATAATAATAATAATAATAATAATAATAATAATAATAATAATAAAATGATGATGATAATAATAATAATAATAATAATAATAATAATAATACAATAATGATAATAATAATAATAATAATAATAATAATAATAATAATAATAATAATAATAATAATACAATAATGATAGTAATAATAATAATAATAATAATAATAAATAATAATAATATAATAATAATAATAATAATGATGATAATAATAATAATAATAATAATAATAATAATAATAATAATAATAATAATAATAATAATAATAATAATAATAATTTTAACACGTGTGCAGTACAAAATGAACGGCACAAGGATGTGAAATGAGTGCTGCTGAACGTGTAGGAGCGAGAGAGAGCAATTATCGCTAAGAACGTTTGCCAATTTAGAACTCTTTAACCCGTTCACTTAGAGCGCGACGCCGAAAAGGATGAAAACGAAGCCCGGATAGCGAAGCCGGATCCACGCCGTTGATGGGCAGTGAAGCCGGTCGCCTACATCGGGTACCGGAGCCGGATGCCGGAGCCGGCTCCACCACCCTCCACGGACACACCTTTTACGCCAGCCTCGCGGCGTTTAGTTCCCGTCGAGGCATTCAGGGTAGAAGATTAGCATACGAATTTGTTAATCATGTAGTTTGTTGCTTATCAGATGCTGGCCGGGGCGCCTGGTGAGGAAGATTAGGTGAGAGAGATTAGTTGCTCTCTCTCACTCTCTTACACAAGGTTTAACAAGGTTAGGTTAAGGATTCCTAACTTTATTTATAAGCTAAGAGCTGTTACCGACATCAGCTCATTTAAAATCTCTCTCTCTCTCTCTCTCTCTCTCTCTCTCTCTCTCTCTCTCTCTCTCTCTCTCTCTCTCTCTCTCTCTCTCTCTCTCTCTCTCTCTCTCTCTCTCTCTCTCTCCCCTCTCTCTCTCTCTCTCTCTCTCTCTCCCGAAGAGACACAACATTCTTGGTAAACAAATGGTTCTTGATCAGGGGAATTGACGTTACCTTCCCCTCCCTACCCTCCGCTGAGATCAACACCTAATTGAATGCGCTCCGCCGTTATCCTTCCCCCAGGTGCTGTCTGGACCTCATGTGAGTTTAGCGCTTCTCTCCCTCCATCACCATTTAATTACGAAATCTTATTAAGGTTCATTTTATTTTCATCGGATGTGTGTTCAGCGGGAAAGTAATTGTTTGGCACAACGACACGGAATCCGTCGTAGACCAACGAGAAATCCGTCGTAGAGTGATGAGGAATCCGTCGTAGAGGGACATGGAATGGGAATCATTCGGTTCTAAATGAGATTTGCACAATAAACTAGCCACTGCCATCCACAGGATGAATATCGATATGTATATATATATATATATATATATATATATATATATATATATATAATATATATATATATATATATATATATATATTATATATATATATATATATATATATATATATATATATATATATATATATATGTATATATGCGTATTTAGTGTAACAATGATAATCAGTAATAGCATATGTATCTGTATTACAATGTAGAAAGTTATATTAATTTCATATACAGGATTAACTAATCAGAATAATTCCTCCTAGGATTAAGTAACAGCTATTAAACTATGATTATCCGGTCTATTACACGCACACACATTCATATATATATATATATATATATATATATAATATATTATATATATAATATATATATATATATATATATATATATATATATATATATATATATATGTATATATGTATATATAGATAGATATATAGATAGATAGATAGATAGATAGATAGATATAAATAAATAAATAGATAGATATATCCAGCTCCTTGGATCAAGAACTTTTCACCAGCAATGTGATTAGTAGATAACTAAGTTCAAACTTAATTTTGTTAGATATAAACAAAACAACACGAATGTTTATATATAATAATAATAATAATATAATAATAATAATAATAATAATAATATAATAATAATAATAATAATAATAATAATAATTAATTAATAATATAATTATTATTATTATTATTATTATTATTATTATTATAACAATAATAATAACACCAACAATAATAAGAACAAATCATTATTAAATGCATTACAGAGATTATATTGTGATTTATTATTATTATTATTATTATTATTATTATTATTATTATTATTATTATTATTATTATTATTATTATTATTATTTATTATTATTATTATTATTATTATTATTATGATTATTATTATTATTATTATTATTATTATTATTATTATTATTATTATTATTATTATTATTATTATTTCATTATATATTAATATTATTGTTGCTGTTGGTATAATAATATTTTTCAATGTTATTATTTGTTGGATTTTGCAATATATCATCATTAGTATAATAATGGCGAGGGGGTTTTGCAGAATGTTATATTTCTGTGGCAGCAGCTCCTATTACCATGGGAGAGACGACACTACCATTACCAAGGGACAGATGACACACTCATTACCATGGGAGAGACGACACTGCTGTATGGTCACATCAGGAGGAAGACAACAGTCAAGGACCAGGTAATCAGGCTGAGGAAAGAAGAAAAGACCAAGAAGTATGTGAGGAGCTCAACACGAGATTTAAGGAGGTATTTACAGTGGAGACAGGAAGGACTCCGGGAAGACAGAACAGAGGGGCACACCAACAAGGAATATACCAACAAGTGTTGGATGAAAAACACACAACCGATGAGGTGAAGAAGCTGTTAAGTGACCTTGATATCTCAAAGGCGGTGGGACCAGACATCTCTCCGTGGGTCCTTAGAGAGGGAGAGAGACGCTGTGTGTGCCACTAACCACAATTTTCAACACATCCCTTGAAACTGGGCAACTACCTGAGGTATGGAAGACGGCAAATATAGTCCTCATTTTTAAGAAAGGAAACAGAAACGATGCACTGAACTATAGACCAGTGTCACTGACGTGTATAGTATGCAAAGTCATGGAGAAGATTATCAGAAGGAGAGTGGTGGAGCACCTGGAATGGAATAAGATTATAAACGACAACCAGTACAGATTCATCGAAGGCAAATCCTGTGTCACAATCCTACTAGAGTTTAATGACAGGGTAACAGAAGTAAGACACGAGAGAGAGGGTTAGGTTGATTGCATTTTCTTGGACTGCAAGAAGGCCTTCGACACAGTTCTTCACAGAGATTAATAAAGAAGCTACAAAATCAGACACGTATGACAGGAAGGGCACTGCAATGGATCAGAAAATACCTGACAGGGAGGCAACAACGAATCATGGCACGTGATGAGGTATCACAGTGGTCGCCTGTGACGAGCGGGGTCCCACAGGGGTCAGTCCTAGGACCAATGCTATTTTTGGTATATGTGAATGACATGATGGAAGGGATAGACTCAGAAGTGTCCTTGTTCGCAGATGATGTAAAGTTAATGAGGAGAATTAAATCAGATGAGGATCAGGCAGGACTACAAAGAGACCTGGACAGACTGGACGAGTGATCCAGCAACTGGCTCCTAAAATTTAACCCTGCCAAATGCAAAATCATGAAAATTGGAGAAGGGCAAATAAGACCGCAGACAGAGAATAGGCTAGGTGGCCAAAGACTGCAAACCTCACTCAAGGAGTAAGATCTTGGGGTGAGTATAATACCGAGCACGTCTCCGGAAGCACACAACCGGATAACTGCTGCAGCTTCTGATACCTCAGTAAGGAATCGTTCAAGACTCAGTACACCGTGTACGTCAGACCCATACTGGAGTATGCAGCACCAGTTTGGAACCCACACCTGGTCAAACACGTCAAGAAATTAGATAAAGTG